CTCACGTTTTGTACTGAGGGACTGGAACCCAAAAGGTGTACGTTTTCCCGAGAGGCACCAACAAAGTTGGCCCACAAGGTAGAGCAGCCCCTGCCGCAGCTCAGCCAAGCCACACTTCCCACACTGGCCTCTGTGCAGCTGTATCTCAGCAAGAATGCAAGTTGGGGAGAGAGGCCAGATCCCTGGGATTGTTGTAGAGAATCGAAACCTCAGAGTAGCCCTTTTTAGACCACCTAACACATCACATCGCTGAGTACATATAAGGGACTCAATGCTGGTAGGATTGGCTTAGGAATGATGCAAGTTAAAACAGTGCCTGTGTTTATCATTAAAACAAGGTTCTCAGCTGACAGTTGCCTGGGACTTTGATTTTATTCTCCTCAACCTGTCACTCCACTCAAGTCCACATCTCTCAAGACTACACACGCATGGAGGAGGACTGATTACAAAGCCAAAGCCTTGGCCCGGTTCTGGATCTGCTGGCATTGCTGAGAAAGCAGCTTACTTCGACTGATTCAGGCCAAATTAGAACAAACAAAGATTTCAACTGTCTCACTTTGTAAATTACTGAACTATTTTGTAGCTAGGCTGCTCTTAATGTGAACAAAAAATATTATAAAACTTCGTTGTTAATTGTAAACTATAAAATCAGTAATTGTTACCATGTGAAATGAATTCGGATGAAGGAGATGCATTTTTACCCCTTCTCAGGGTTTAGGAGAGACAAAATGGTGAGATTTTAACTCTGAATCTTTTAGAGATTTAACTCCAATCTGAGTTAAAGATTTTTAACTCTAATAAAGGGTTCTTATTAGAGGTGGTTTTGTTCCTCCTGACCCCTAAGGGACATTTAGCAATGTGCGGAGGCATTCTTTAGTATCAGTACTTGGGTGGGCGGATGCTGCTGTGCCCAGGGAGACTGCTAAACATGCTACAGTGTATAAAACAGTTCCTCATGACAAATAATTATCCAGCCCCAAAATGTCAATAGTGCTGAGGTTGAGAAACCCTCCTTTAAACTCTTAGGTTTATTTGCTGACCTTTGCGGTGGATCAGCTTTTATTTAGTTCATGCAGAGGTGAAATTAATACTGGTGCTTGACTATATCGTTTGTATTCTGAACTTGGCCTGGATCCCCTGACCAAGTTTGGGACAAGCTCTTGCCATGTGTTGAGGACCTGAATTCAGGCAGCTAACAACAGCATCTGAACTGTGTTCCCAGTGAAGGGAAGCACATAGGCTGCATGAGGAAATAGAGAGGAAAGCTGCAGCGTGGAGCCCTGCTCTCTTCAGAGTGTGCTTGGAGAACAAGCAGCAGTGGCATTATTGGGGAGCTTGATGGAGATGCCCCCCCTCAGACTTGCTGAGTCAGAATCTTTAATTTGGCAAGATCCCCAGTGAGGCTTGTGCACGTAGACACAGAGAAGCACAGGGTAAACTTTTTTTTTTTTTAAACTTTGGAGGAAAATACACCTTTTTCCACATCATGGCTCTGACTCTTCCCACCTGTGTGCCCTTGGCCAAGTTATAAAACCTAACTGCACCTTACTTATTTTAGCTGGAAAATGGAGATAATAATATCACCCGTCTTATGAGAGTGTTGTAAGAATCAAACAAGCTTATTTGTGTCAAGAACCCATACGGTAAAAGCTCAACAAACTGTTGCTAGTGAAAATAAGATAAAGATCGCAAAAGCAGAAAACATTAGGGAGACAGTTTAGGTCTTAAACCTCTCATTCGCCATCACCAAACAATACTTGTATTTTTGCAGATCCAGTTTCTCTGAATACTGAAGTAAAACTGGAGTTTCATAAACTGCTATAGACAGTGGTCCTTGTCAGTAGCCCAAGCGGCAGAGAGTAAATGGATCTGGGGACAAGCAGCCCCAACTGCTAGGAGTGTTCCATCTCCTCCAGGCCTGAGTTACACCTGCTCATCATGATTCTGAATTTGAAAGGAACACAGTAGGAAGTTTCAAGACCCTGGGAAGAGGAAGGCTGTGGTAAACAGGAAGGATGAGATTAGAAGAAGGAGTTTAGGTGAGGTGAGCCCTTGTTTTACTGGTAGGGTTTAAGAATATCCAGGTCAGCCAGGCTTGGTGGCTCGCACCTATAATCCTAGCACTTTGGGAGGCTGAGGCAGGTGGATTACCTGAGGTCAGGAGTTTGAGACCAGCTTGGCCAACATGATGAAAACCCATCTCTACTAAAATACAAAAATTAGCCAGGTGTGGTGGTGCATGCCTGTAATCTCAACTACTCACTGGGGAGCTTAAGGCAGAAAAATCACTTGAACCTGGGAGGCAGAGTTTGCAGTGAGCCAAGATCGTGCCATTGCATTCCAGCCTGGGTGACAGAGCAAGACTCCAACTCAAAAAAAAAAAAAAAAGAATATCCAGGTCAACCCCACCTAACTCTCAACAGTGCTCCCCTCTGTTGCCTAGCTGGGTCCTGGGTTCTCTTGATGCACATGAGTTGTGAGAGTGCGCACCGTGCCAGCCAGAACACCTCACAGGAATTAGTTTTCAGAAATGAGACTCTTTTGTAAACCAGCAGGAGATACACTTCCAATATGAGATAAAGCAGAACTTTAATCACAACTGCAGTGTCCCACAGAATTCCAAGAGCCAAGATGGTAAAAGAATAAAAAAAAGAAAAAAGGAAAGGGCTCAAATGAAAGACTTCACACTGCAGAATAAAATTAAATAAAAGGATGAAATTGAACTAGATCATATTCAGTAATGACTAATCCTGAGTATACAGGTTTTGGCAAGGGAAGGGATTTGTTTTCTAAGTGTTTTGCAGGAAAATATTTTTTCCATCTTTGATTTTAATTAGAATAGATTTGCATTATTTTCCCTTAGTTTTTGTTTTCAAAATATTTATTGCCACAAATTTAGAAAATAGAGGGAAACCATAAATAACAGCACATGTAAACCCAGTACTTCTGTTCCTTCTCTTATTCAACAGTTATTTCTTAGGCACCCGCTGGGTGTGAGCAGCTGTGCTCAGTGATGACCTTGCCTTGTCTATAAGGTAGCAAGGTTCTAACCTTGTTAGGGCTTACAGTTGAGTAGCTGAAATTTCTGTTTCTTTTCTGTGCCCCTAGTAAATATATGATAGCAAACAAGAGCTTTTATTTATTTTTTTTATTGTGTTCTTAGTCTGTGTTGGGCCCTGTTCTCAGTTGTTTATAGCCTGTTAACTCAGTCTCTTTACCACCACTCTGAGGGGAGGCACTGTCATACCCACCTGACAGATGGGGAAGTGGAAGCATCAGGAGGTAGGGCAACTTACTAAAGATCACAAAATCAAAAATGGCAGAATCTTTAAAAAAAATTTATCACACTTTAAGTTTTGAGATACATGTGCAGAACATGCAGGTTTGTTACATAGGTATACACGTGCCATGGTTGTTTGCTGTATCCGTCACCCCATATCATCTACATTAGGTATTTCTCCTAATGCTATTCCTCCCCAATCCCCCCATCCCCTGCTATCCCTCCTCTAGCCCTCCACCTCCCAATAGGCCCTGGTGTGTGATGTTCCCCTCCCTGTGCCCGTGTGTTCTCATTGTTCAACTCCCATTTATGAGCAAGAACATGTGGTGTTTGGTTTTTCTGTTCTTGTGTAAGCTTGCTGAGAATAATGGTTTCCAGCTTCATCCATGTCCCTGCAAAGGACATGAACTCATCCTTTTTTATGGCTGCATAGTATTCCATGGTGTACATGTGCCACATTTGCTTTATCCAGTCTATCATTGATGGGCATTTGGGTTGGTTCCAAGTCTTTGCGATTGTAAACAGTGCCACAGTAAACATACATATGCATGTGTCTTTATAATAGAATGATTTATAACTTTTTGATTTGCTGGGTCAAATAGTATTTCTATTTCTATATCCTTGAGGAATCATCATACTGAATGACAGAGTCTTGATTAGAATCTTGGCAACCTGACTCCAGAACCTGCCCTATTAATCACTAAACTATACTGCCTCTCAGAATATGTATCAAATTGAGGTGATAGTTTATAATTTCAACAGTACAAAGGAACATCCTCCTATAATGCATGTAAACCCCCAAAAGATGTAGAATTTTCATCTATTCATTTGTTTGATAGGACCATAATGAAATAAGACTCTATAAAGCTGTGTAATTTAGACATAGGAAACGTTTAGATTATAGTGGTATCTAGTGGGAAGCAAATGGTCTTCTGAATCAGAAAGATGTGAGCTAGAGTATGCCAGGGGACCTACTTACTCTATGACTTTGGGCAAGTTACCAAATCTCAGTTTCCTTTCCAGACTAATACCTGCCTTCTGGACTTGTCATCAGGATTAAACGAGTCTACCTATATAAAATGCATGGCACAGTGCCCAGCACTTGGTAGAGAGTCTGTTAATGGTCACTGTTATTACGGGCTATTCAGTGCATTTTAATCCTCTTTCAGAATACCTGGCCAGATAGCACAGTGGTTGAGAATGCACATGAGAGCCACACTGTTGGGTTCCAGTCTTGGCTCGACTCCTCCTTAGTTCTGTGACACTAGGCAGGTTGTGTAAACTCCCTGTGACTCAGTTTACACTTCTTTAGAACGGGATAGTTACAATACCTATGTCTTAGAGTTTTGTGGGTATTAAATTATTATATATAAAACTCTGAAAACAGTTTGGTACATGGTAGGCACTGTATGAACGTTTTCTATAATTAATAATATTAAATAGCATTTTCAGAAGAAGTTAAAAATATTACACCTTAAAAAGCAGGTACTTTAAATACCTCCTCAGCTACTGAAGCTTTGCTTGCTATTTGATGTATCATTTTTTCATGTTTGTGGCTCAGACATGGCTTAGTCTAATGCGTATTAACACATGAATTTTCAGTTTGGTGATCTTATTATATTTCATCTGAATGAACAGAATTTGCTGATTTGGCACTGTGTTTCAGCATGCATTTTATGTTGAAAAATGACAATTCTGGAATGTTTTTTTCCCTCTCCAGATTATTCAGAGCTGGGAGAGCTTCCCCCACGATCTCCTTTAGAACCAGTTTGTGAAGATGGACCCTTTGGCCCTGCACCAGAGGAAAAGAAAAGGACATCTCGTGAGCTCCGAGAGTTGTGGCAAAAGGCTATTCTTCAACAGATACTGCTGCTCAGAATGGAAAAGGAAAATCAGAAGCTCCAAGGTTGGTTTGCCATCCTGCTGTTGAGCAGGCCTGGTTTTCTCTAGGCTCTAAAGTGAATCACATCAGACATAGCATGCTGTCTTAAAAATATAGCAGCATGATAGTCTAATGTACACATCTATCTATAGTATCCGTTTACTGTTTCAGAGTCTTATTAACACTGTTTAGTTTTTGATGATTTAATGATAGTTTCACCAACTGTATTCATTATTCCTATATGGTCACTATTTGTACAGTGTTTAGAAATTCTGAGATAAGCTTTAAATCTAAGCTCTAACACTCTGAAAGGTGTTTGTTTTGTTTTGTCCCGCTGCCCCCCCGACTCTCTCTCGCTCTCTCAACTTTATCCTCAGCCATAGTCTGTGCCTGTGTGTTACGTATGAACTTTTCTTGTGTAAGTCATTAAAATGAATAACTTTATGTGCTTTTTCAGTGAGCTGCAAGTAATCAACACAAAAACCCATTAGCTGAGTTCTACCTGTACTGATAGCAATAGTGTCAAAATATGATATGAACTTGTAAAGTTTAGATTTTGTTCATTTCCTGCTTCCATACTGACACTGGAACCAATTAATATTATCTTCAAAGTAGCTTAAGACGCAAAGTTTACATACCGTTTGGAAAGAGCATGGGTTTTAGTGTATCTCGACAACTGCCCCGCTATGTAGTAATGAAGATTTTGAGCGGGAAGTCTGCATAGACCCTTTCAAAGGGAAGATGTAGCAGGTGGTTCAGACATACTGCCATTGCCCCAGAACAATTTTGGAATTAAAGTGCCTTTCATTCAGCATCATCCTTGATTGCAGATTTTGGTCTTTTAAAATGGCCTTGTTGCTTTTAGAGCTGAAAGTCTTTCAGACACCAAGTCTGAGGAGTAAGCTCCCAAGAATGTGTTGCATCCCATGAGTTTCAGTTCATAGCTAGTGTCATAGTGAGAGGATAGATGTTCTCTGTGCATGTCCATGAGATAGTTGTGAGTTATGACAACACTGGGTACCGGCAACATAGTTTCTGCAGTTGAAAAGTATGAATTCGTAGACTGTAAAGAGATAGTGTCTTTATCTTTTGACTGAAAACAAAAAATAAAATATAAAGGAATAAGACCTTCTAATATGAAAGTGTAGTCCCTTAGTTGGAATAGGTTAGTAAGCTTTCCACTATGCAGTTCTGAAGCTGAGAAATACAAGTCCTGCCATCAGGGTGCTGTGGAAGGTGATAGCACACTGGAGGGCAGGTAGAGCAGGTGAGTGCTGTTTTCTTCCAACTCAGTTTTTCTGCCACTTTCTTGTGTGTTCTTGAAGGTAATTCTAAAAGCAGATGTCAAAAAGATGTTTGATAGTGATGGCGTTACTGCATGTCTCATTAGTAAAATGACAGCTCAGAAGCACAGCAGTTATATTCCTGTGCATCTTGGGATTTTTGTTGAAGAGGAAAAAGGCATTTATGTTCATCACGTAGGTCATAAACTTTAATGCTGATACTGGCCGATCTTGCAGATGACAGCCATGTAAAATCAGGGCATAGCTATAAAATGGGAGTGGTGCTCACAGCTGGCTTCTTCAGAATGTGGTGAGGACAGCTGTAATGGGTGAGGTGAAATTAATATGCTACAAAAGCAGAAAGCATTCTGCTGTGCAAACAATGACCATGCAGAGAATGAACAGGCGAGAGTTTCCTAACAGTACCTGGAACACCTTGCCAGGTGTTGCGTTAAGTTTACTGGCCCTTGCCAACATTCTTCTAGTGCTTCCTCATTTCATCTGGCTTCTTGGCACTGCTTAGTTTTTGTGGTCTTTTATTTTGACTGCTTCATTTCTCTTCGTAGCTCTGTAAAGTTCAATATGTGTTTATCTCTGTGGTGAAAACACAATAAACTTGTTTAATACAATGTTGGAAGCATTAATCTATTGTATTAGTGTGTATAGGACCTGAATTGCTGAGAAAAATAACCAGCAGTAAGAGCCTGATTGCTTAAAAATATTTAATAAGTTTTGTTGGGGTGGGTTGGGCGGGGGGGAAACTGTTACGTTAAATATAGATGCAGGAGCCGGGCGCGGTGGCTTAAGCCTGTAATCCCAGCACTTTGTGAGGCCGAGGCAGGTGGATCACAAGGTCAAGAGATCGAGATCATCCTGGTCAACATGGTGAAACCCCGTCTCTACTAAAAATACAAAATATTAGCGGGGCATAGTGGCACGTGCCTGTAATCCCAGCTACTCAGGAGGCTGAGGCAGAAGAATTGCCCGAACCCAGGAGGCGGAGGTTGCGGTGAGCCGAGATCGCGCCATTGCACTCCAGCCTGGGTAACAAAGAGTGAAACTCTGTCTCAAAAAATATAGATATATATAGATACATGCAGGATTTGACAAGAAGCAGCCAAAGTGTACAGTAAGCCTTCGCTTAATGTTGCCAATAGGCTCGTGGAAACTGCGACTTTCAGCAAAATGAGGTATAATGAAACCAATTTTACCAAGGGTTTATTGATAAAAACAAGAGTTAAGTTCCTATGGCATATTTCTGGGCACAAAAACTTCACGAAATTCTAAATAAAGACCCAAGACACTTCTAACATTAAATATTAATGTAATTGTGAGCTATGCAAACATTTAAGAAAGATTAATAAAAATAAGATAATTATTGGCTCAGCACAGTTGCTCATCTCTGTAATCCCAGCACTTTGAGAGGCCGAGGCGGGTAGATCACCTGAGATCAGGAGTTTGAGACCAGCCTGGCCAATGTGGTGAAATCCCTTCTCTACTATAATTACAAAATAAAATTAGCTGGGCGTGGTGGTTGGCACCTGTAATCCCAGCTACTCAGAAGGCTGAGGCAGGAGAATCACTTGAACCCAGGAGACAAAGGTTGCATTGAGCCAAGATGATGCCACTGCACTCCAGCCTGGGCAACAGAGTGAGACTCTGTCTGAAAAAAAAAAAAAAAAAGGGGGGGGTAATTATTTTTCCACTTACTCCATTTCAGGGTCTAGGTGGCCAGAACCTATCCCTGCAGCTTGGGATGCAAGGCAGGAACCAGCCCTGGACTCTGTCATCCCATCGCGGGGTGACTCACACACACACACACACACACTCAGACTGGGACCATGTAGACATACTGATTAACCTAATGTGCACATCTCTGGGATGGGGGAGGAAACTGAAGCACTTGGAGAAAACCCACATAGACCAAGGCCCCAGGCTGGGAATCCATTTTTTACTTACCAACATTATAAAGAAGTGAAATTGAGCACGAAGACATTTTTCGAGGGCCTGCTGTGCTATGTGCTTAGAGAGACAGGCATCCTATTGTGGGTTTTTTTTTTCTCCCTTCTTAAAGGAAGGTTAAATTACATCTGGGATGGCTCTTGAAATTGATCAAGGGTTCAAGCTGACTTGCATACTCTTTGGGAAAATATTTAGAAGAATGTGTGTGAGAAAGTTTTTCCTATGGTTAAGCCTATTTCCTGACTTGAATATATGAATCAAATGTTTTAACTATTCTGGAAGCATTGTATCCTGGAAAGAACCATACTGTGCCATCTAAGTCAACCTCACACCATTGTAGCACTTGGAAGTTGAAGTTGTGATTTCTCCAAAATTAGACAGCTGATTTTCAGTGGTGTTAGGACAAAAAGCATCGCCTTTCTTTGAAGCCACCAGTCCTCTGCCGTCCCCTCTGCAAGGCCATTTCCCCCTCCCCACTCCTTGTTTTTTTGAGACGAAGTTTTGCTCTTCTTGCTTAGGCTAGAGTGCAGTGGCATGATCTCAGCTCACTGCAACCTCGCCTCCTGGGTTCAAGCAATTCTCCTGCCTCAGCCTCCCAAGTAGCTGGGATTGCAGGTGCCTGGCACCATACCCAGCTATTTAAAAAAAATTATTAGTAGTAGAGATGGGGTTTCACCATGTTGGGCAGACTGGTCTCGAACTCCTGACCTCAGGTGATCCACCCACCTTGGCCTCCCAAAGCTCTGGAATTATAGGCATGAGCCACTGCGCCTGGCCCATTTTTCCCTATTTTTAAATAAAGATGTGAGCAGCCTAATGCAAGGTCACATCATGTGATTCAATACAGCCATGGCTTGGTGTTGGCATGTTATTGCCGGTTGAGCCAATTCATATAACTCAGCATTTTATAATTTACTAAGACTAAAAGGATGTGATAACATTGAATTTTGAATTACAATCAATGTTTTTTGTTTTTTAAAAATACATTTTTCTGAGTTAAATAATATGTGATGTTTTAAAAATCAAATATTCAGTGCAGTTCTTCTAAAATCTCTGCAAGTGTGGGGGTCATTTAGTTGCTGAGCCTCCCAGCCTCTTAGCTTTCCATTCTAAGCTTCAAGAGGTAGTGGCAGCTGGCGAGACAGTTTTGTCTGAGAATGCCATTGGTGACAGAGCAGCCATAGCCTGCCCTCCAGACCTGAGCATTATCACAAAGTCCAAGTTGGCTCAGACATTTGTGTTAAACCATAATAAATATTTTAGAGAACTTTGTGGCAAATTTACTTTTGATCTCAGTCAGTCTTATTCCCCGATCCCCACAAGCTTAAAAAACCACATGGGCGTGTGGGGTCTTACTGAATGTTGTGGACAGCCGGGTCCTGTATCTGAAGTTCTGGCCTTGGAGCCTGGGCGTTTGTTGCAGGCCCGTTCCATCTGCCTTGGTTGAGAAGGCATTTTGGAGGCCACTGATTTTAGGCAGCGGTGTTGTCAGGACCCTGAAACAGCAGGATGTTGCTTCGGCCAATAGCAAAATACATGGATTGAGCCTTTTCAGCTGAATCTTCTGGCCAGTTCTTTCTGGCTGTGTGAAGTTGGGTTGACTTCAGAGCAGGTTCCTCATGTGGCCTGCTGGGCTCTGTTAGGGTGGCCAGACGCGCTTGTAGCAGCCTTACTGCCAGGGGAACGTACGCTGGCATCGAGAGCCCAGTGCTACTGCCAGTTGCTGTTCAGCAAGGCTAGCCCCAAACCTGATTTGCTGCAAGGATTAGCTCAACTCTAGTGACATTTATTGTGTTTTCTCATCGCTCAAATCACAGGCCCACCCCCCCCCCAAAAAAAAAAACTAGGATTGACATTTTTAAAAAATGTAAACTCCAGAGATATAGGGAATTGTATAACAGGACCTTAGAAATGTATTCGTCAGAGCAAGAGGGGAAAGATGAAAGATGGTAGATGGAAAACATAACAGTTGAGAGGAAGGCAGCACTGGGCCTAGGATCACGCAACTTCCTTCTAGCTAGTAAATAACCATGGCCAAATCACCTCATCTTTCTGAGCTTCAGTTTCGGTGGCCATGAAATGAGAGATTAGGCCCAGGAATCAATGTAAATTGTTAATTTCACATTTCCCTTTATCGATACTATTCCCCCCCTGAGTTTGATAATTTGGTTATAATTCTTCATGCAGCGTTAGGTTGAGTAAGTTTTGGTGGGAAACCATAGCTATCTTCATATATTTGAGAGATGTCATTCGAAAGGGGGAGATTTATATAGTTGAGCTCCAAGAAGCAGAAATGGGATCAATGGTAGAAGCTACCAAACAGAGGTTTGGCACTAAATAAGAAAACTATCTTTGGAGTGCTTCTCCTAGTTCAGATGAAAAAATTCCATGCAGTTGTAACCATGCTATTCACTAGGAATTTTATTAATAACACATAGCTCCTGTCCTGGGGAGGCTTATGGTTTGATAGGGGTAAGATGGAAAGAATTGGGCAGATGTGGGTTTTATGTTAGCAGTAGAGCCAACAGGGTACATTGAGAGTGAGGGGGTAAGAGAAATCACATACTTCCTAGGTTTTTAGTGTTTTCCAAAACAAGGAAAATGGGTAGGGGCATGGGCAGTGACTTTAACTAGATCCACTAACCGGTTGTACTGCTCGACATCTCAGCAGGATAGCCAGTAGGCAGCCATGTTATGTAATGAAAGCTCCATGGCTGTAGCCTGGACTAATGCACTCTTGAATGGTCTATTCCAGCCTCCGAAAATGATTTGCTAAACAAGCGCCTGAAGCTCGATTATGAAGAAATTACTCCCTGTCTTAAAGAAGTAACTACAGTGTGGGAAAAGATGCTTAGCACTCCAGGAAGATCAAAAATTAAGTTTGACATGGAAAAAATGCACTTGGCTGTTGGGCAAGGTAAGCTTTATTGGGAATCACCTAGTCAGTCTCACCCCTCACTGGGGATTGGGGAGAAGTGTGGAATAAAAAAATTAAGTCTAACTTTAGTGGCCATCTCCCTTCTTTTCATCAGATCTTAATCTATTTCCAGATACCTTACTTAATAGATAGGAGTTTCACCACCTTTCATGATTCCTCTGAATTAAAATTCCCAGAAGACCAGGAAATAGGAAGAAGACAGAAAAACCCAAGGGCTTCATTGCCTATAAACTGGATAATGATTTTATGATATACTTGGAATTAAATTATAAACTAGAAACTAATCGTATGGCTTCTCTCTGGGTGCCCTAGGGAGACAGCATAGAGTGTGGAGCACAGACTTCAGACGTGTGGTTTTCGGTTTAAGTCCCAGCCCTGCTGCTTACTTTTGCAGTGTGATCTTAGACAAATGCCTCACCCTCTCTGAGCTGCAGTTTCCACAAGTGTAAGATGTGGGTGCTGACAGTGGATGTTATGAGGAGCACACAGCATGTGTCTGCCATACTGTAAGGCCTTAGAGAGCGGGCAGGATTCACTGTTTTCTCAGTGTGATCTGCCAGCCCAAACTGTTACTGGTCTAGGAAGAGATAAGTACAGAACTTGAGACTAAGCGTTTGGAAATGTTTCCGGCAATTTGACACAGTGATCCTAATAAAAAAAAATGTGGATTTACATTTTGTCCATCCTTTTTTTTCATTTGTTTTTTTCCTAATTTATTTTTACTGTGTGGTATTAAAAAATCAGTCTGTAATGGATTGGAACTTTTTTTAAATGAAAAAAAAAATTGATGTTTCACAGATAGTTTGAGAAGCGCTGTTTTGGAGCTTACCTTAGTCATGATTAGTGTTCTAGTCAAACAATGATTTCTTTGAAAATGTATGTTAATGTCTTCTGGCAAGAGTAAAAGCCTGAGTCTGATCTGATTCTATGCTGCTGAGTTCCGGTTGAGCTAATCATGAATAACCAGGTGTTTTGAGTAAGGGTTGCAAACATGTACAGAATGGGTTTTTCCTGGCTTTATCAGTTGTACAGTGGAAAAACATTGCATGTGCATTTTTCATCTCTAGGAGCATTAATGGAACGAAGCCGTGTTTTCTAACTATAGTCTTTTAGGCATTTTTTACCCTTTTCTGAATTTTGACATCAATTTTAGTAATCATAGGTAGCTATTGTGTGTTATGCCTGTCTCCTTTCTAGGGATAGGCATACTTGGGCTTAGAGCAGTTGAGCAGTGGCTCAGGCCACAGAGCTGGGTTCACACCACCGTACTGCACTGTCTCCTGTAGAACAGGATCTCAAGGTGCTTTTCTCAGAACATGTATGCAGTGGTGAAGACTGAAATGCTATATCCACAGTGGCTTTCAGTGTGACTTTGGCAGGTACGCTCTTTCTGGGCTCCTGCCTCCTTGCTGATAGAAATGAGAGACTTGCACCAAGCCAAGGATCTTGGAGCTCTCTTCCAGTTCTGATATTCCTTGAACCTGGAGCTGTCGCTTAAGGTTTACCCTTACACCAAATGGCCCCAAATTGCCGTTTTGAAAAGGCAGAAAGCAGAGAAAAGAATGAGTCTGTTCTTCCCCCTTTCACCATTGCCTAGAAGATTGCCTTCAGGTGTCTTTGTTTCTGTGAAAGGCAAATTGCATGGGTCCGTGACAGCATTCCAAATATTTGAGCTTCTTAGAAGCCTGGCACCTGGATATTTGTTTTTCACTGGGCATGTTATACAGAGGCTAATAGAAATACTCTAGGAATCTGGACCCTGGGTAGTGAAAGTCAGGCATAGATGATTGAACGTTCTATATACTGGAGTGAGCTAAGGCTGACCTGGAATTTCCTTAGGTATTCCCTGACTTTGCAATGTCACTTTTTATGGCAGAAATTCTCTCTAACCATAAAGGGGGCTTTTGTCAATCAGGTGGTTTTAACACATTAAGATTTAACAACTCCAAACAAATGACAGGGTCTATTTAGTGGCTCAGAATAAAAATTTGAATCTAAAAATGTGAGACTAAATTAGAATCATATCTTTGACCTTTGAAGTAGAGGCTAACTCTGGCTCAGAGATCTTGAAAGAGAGGACAGTTGCATGGATTAAGAGGTCCTTCCTTGGCCAGGCGTGGTGGCTCAGGCCTGTAATCCCAGCACTTTAGGAGGCCAAGGCAGGCAGATCACAAGGTCAGGAGTTCAAGACCAGCCTGGCCAACATGGTGAATCACCGACTCCACTAAAAATACAGAAATTAACTGGGCATGGTGGCATGTGTCTGTAATTCCAGCTACTTGGGAGGCTGAGGCAGGAGAATTGGCTTGAACCAGGACCCAGGAGACAGAGGTTGCAGTGAGCCAAGATCACACCACTGCACTTCAGCCTGGGCTACAGAGTGAGACTCCATCTGAAAAAAAAAAAGGGGCCCTACCTCATAGTGATATAAAACACCCTGAAATGACAGAAATAAAGAAATTTATAAAATTTTCCCAGTTAAAATTAGATAAGGAGGCAGGATTAGGGTATCAATTTAGGAGAAGATAGCGTAATTATAGATAATTCAGTTTAGTTCAGGTCAAAATGATTTCTCTAAAGATACCTAGGTAGAACCTAGAATGTATTTTTTAGGAATGGGATTGCAGAGTGGCTGCCTGAGCTTCTGACAGTAAGGGCCAGAGGTAAACTCTGCTTGCCTTTGACCCAGCAATGCCAGTTATAGAAACGTACTATAGAAACGAATCAACCAAAAATGTACTGTAGTAAGAATGCTTATTGTGGCATTAATAGACAAAACAAAACAAAATACCCAACCATGTGACTATTCTATGTCATATTCCTCGAAAATGACGTTGTAAGTAGATCTGTATTTACTGATGTAAGTGATGTCTGAGATAAGTTGTTAAATGAAAAGAGCACAGCATGGTCTCCTGTGCAGCTGATAGTTCTCTATGTGTGTACACGGAAAAACATCCCACGATGCAGGTGTCCGGGTCATAGGCAGGACTCCTGTCCTGGCAAAATTAACAGCCTTCCTCCTCTTCACTTCAAAAGCTTCCTGCTTTGGATGGTAAATACGTGTTCATTCTAATTTTGGGTGGGTTTTCACTTTCTTTATACCTTTTCATTTTCAGAGGTATTTTTCTTTTGCCCTCCTTTTAAACAGTGAGTATATATTACTTTTTTAGGTGAGGAAGAAGCAATTTACATGGGGGATGGAGGAATGGCCTCCTGCCCACCCAGACCCTGCCTGCAAGCCCTAGGCAGGCTCCACTGCCAGGTTTCTCTCTTGGATTAGGAGTGAAGGCAGCACCACGCTGGGGAAGGGTGTTCCAGGCCATTCTTAGCAAAAACATGGAGTCCGACCTGTATGATCCTGTGCTTTCAATCACAGAATCTTAGCTTATTCCTGAATACCACAATGTTGGGTACTGTCCAGTGACACAGCCAATATTTATTTCTTCAGAAAAATAAAGGTCTGATAAGACAATGGGAATGATTTAGTAACAGGAAATTGGACATTTCATAGCTTGGGAAAATTTTCCAGTTTGAAGAAAAGTATTTTGTGAAATAAAGCTCTACTGTAAATCACTTACCATGCTGACTGTTTTCCAGCCCACATTTACTTGTCATCAGGGTGTGAAGTATTTGTGGGGTGTGTGTGTGTGTGTGTGTGTGTGTGTGTGTGTGTGTGTACCCAGGATATATCCATGAGCTGGAATAGCAGAGAGGGAGCCAAGAAATAGAATATAGTAGAAAGCAGATATCAGGGTGTGTTTCCTGTTGCTACTGTAACAAGTTACTACAAAAATGGTGACTGAAGCAACAGAAATTCTTCTCTCAGTGTTCTAGAAGCCGAAACTCCAAAACCATGGTGTCAGCCTGTCTGCACTTGGCCTCCTCCGGCTGCTGGTGGCCGCCAGCTTCCTAGACTTGTGGCCACGGCACTTCAGCCTCTGCCCTCTTGGTCACATCGATTCCCCTTCTCATCTCCTCCTCTGCATGTCTATTACAAGGATGCTTGTCCCTGGATATAGGCCCACCTGGATAATCCAGGTTGCTCTCCTCCTCTGCTCGCCCTGTGTTTCTCCTACAGGCCAACTTAAAAAGAAATATGTGAAAGGGAAAAAACAAAGTACTTACTACACAGTAAGTACTTCCAAGAGATGGCTCACTGAGGCTTTCTAAACAGTTTCTTGTGACTCTGTTAATAAAATGATTACTATTTGGTTCAAATCCACAGATGGTTGTTTTATCATTCATTGCAAGATAGAAAATATATCTTGCAATGAATGACCAAAAGATATTTTTTCTCTAGTTTCCATTTGAGTAGCAGCCTTGTTTGACATTTTCAACATGGAGGACACCAAGAGGAAATGGCAATCAGTGTCCCTGGGCTGTCACTCACCGGCCTAATGACCTGGGGCAAGAGACCTGTTCTCACTGCTTCTCTTTTCTTTACCATGAAGATAATTGTGTTTCCCTTAGAAGGTCATGAGGGTGATATGGACCAATATACATAACATGCATGGAATGGTGACGGTGCACAGTGGCCTCACAATCAGTGCTGTCTGCTGCTGCTACCTTGCCAGAAGCAGAAACTTTTCCCAAGGGTGACCAGAGACAGAAACTAGAGAAACCATCCCCTGGGCAGGCTCTGAGTGGCAGGGCAGGATACAAAGCGGTCACTTTTTTCCCTGGATGGAAAGAAAGATGAATTCCTAACTCAGAGGCTTCTTTCTCCAAAGAGATGAGAAAGACTTGGCGTCTGATTCTTCACTCGTCTTTCTCTCCCCCTTCCCACCTTTTGGCCTTGTAATAGCTGAGGAATGAGCTAAAGAATTTTGGTGGAAAACTGTTGCCTTTTAAAATTAGGTTTGCCTTGAATAACATCCTTGACTTCAAGAGAACTTTTCTGAGTTTTAGACATTTTAATCACTGTGAGTATTCAAATCAATCACGTGTAAAGCATTAGGTGGAGGCTCGTGGACATTTTCTGTTTTTAGGCTTTGTTGGATGCTCGCGTCAGTGTCTATGCGGTCAGTTCTTGCCCAGCCTCTGGGTCCGTCTTGCAGCTTATCTTGCAGAAAGAAGCCTCGTCAGAATTCCAGAATCTCAGCTATGATCAGCTTACACCATCTCAGCTCAGAAACATTCAGTGGTTCCCTGGAGCTAGCAAACAAAGTGCAGGTCTCTTGCCCTCAGTTTTGCCTCTGACAGTAACCCTTCCAGCCTCCTGCTAGCTACTCTTTCCTATGCACCCTTGTGCCTGAGGCAAACTGAATCACTCTCGGTTCCCTCTCTCTGGTGGCTCTTCTCTCTTCCTTTTCCTTCATCTTTAAGGCTTGGGTTAAATGCAGGATTCTGTGGAAAATTGATTGCTCAGTTAGAAATAAGCTAACTTCTCCTTCATCTGAGCTCTACTTCCTTTTGATTCTCTCTTGTTTCTGAGATCCCGTCTTACAATACAGTTTTTCATACTTGGCCTTATTTCCCTAGAATGTCGTTCATTGACACCAGGGCTCAGGTCATATTCTTTATTCCTTGCAGAGTCTGACAGGGTGAGAACATGATAACACATTGGAGAAGTGAGAAGAAAGGAGGAAGGGGCCTGGGAAGTGAGGGGAGAATGGGGGAGTGGAAGTAAGGGAAGAAGGAAATAGGACAAGGTTTTAGTTGCCTCCCTTCTGTTCCTGTGCTGTTAATTAATATTGGAACTAGTGGCCAGGCACGGTGGCTCATTCTGTAATCTCAGGACTTTGGGAGGCTGAGGCAGGAGTATCGCTTGAGCCCAGGAGTTTAAGACAAGCCTGGTCAGCATAGTGAGATCCTGTCTATACAAAAATAAAAAAAACAGTTAGGTGTGGTGGTGGGCACCTGTAATTCCAGCTACTCAGAAAGTTGAGGTGGGAGGATCATTTGAGCCCAGGAGGTTGAAGCTGCAGTGAGCTGTGATTGTGCCACTGCACTCCAGCTTGGGTGACAGAGCCAGACTCTGTCTCAAGAAAAAAAAAAAAGGAACAAGAATTTGGATACATGGAACATGAAACACAGCTGATGTTTATTATTAAGTTGTATTCTATGGATAAATTATCTCGGTATCTTCTATTTCCCCTTTCAAAGGTGTGCCACGTCATCACCGAGGTGAAATCTGGAAATTTCTAGCTGAGCAATTCCACCTTAAACACCAGTTTCCCAGCAAACAGCAGCCAAAGGATGTGCCATACAAAGAACTCTTAAAGCAGCTGACTTCTCAGCAGCATGCAATTCTTATCGACCTTGGTAAGTCTATGCCATCGATTAGAGATGAAATGTAAGTTTCACTCACATGAAAAATCTGAAGAGACTGTCCAAGTTATTTAGTGACCTGCCTTTAGGTTTAGCAATCACAATTTACTACTGAGACTTTTAATTTAAAAAGCCCTAGGGTAATCATACATGTCGTCTTCAAGCATATAAAAATCTCCGTATTTTCACTGGGTAGCCTGTTAACTTGGCTTTGCATGAAGGGTGGGTGTTCATTAAGGCGGCAGCCATAACTGTGGTTCAGTCCAGTAACTCAAATACTGATAGGAGGTTTTTATAGTCAACTGAAGGAGCATGCTGGAAAACGTATAGATGTTCAGAACCAAGGCTTGGTTTAATTACAGGAGCCACTCCTTCATCTGCTTACAAACAGATTTCATCAGAAAAATTGTAGAAGGCAGTTTGTGTGTACGCCTTGCATGATTTTCTTTTGGAAACTGGGTGACACCTTGTCTCTTGAGTAGTTTTAAAAATATGAAGATGGGAACAGGGTACAACCCCCCCCCACCCCCCTGCACTGCCATATGTATGGGTTCTGAATTTGGGGACTCAACCACCAACCTCAGATGGAAAATATTTGGGAAGAAAAATCAAAGAAAAAATAATAAAATAGATTTTAAAATATAGTCACTATTCTCCAGAGGATTTACATTGTATTAGGTGTTATAGGTAATCTGTAGATGATTTAAAGCATACAGGAGGATGTGTATAGGTTATATGTAAACATGGCACCATCTTATAGAAGGGCCTTGAACACCACGAATTTTAATATCTGTGGGGACTCCTACAACCTGTCCACTGAGGATGCCACGGGATGACTGTATTGAATAGATTTGCCATTGCCACTGTGAAGAACTTGTTGAACTGGGTGTGATTATGATGCACAAAGGCCCCTCCTGCCTTGTCAGTGACCATGCACAGGGTCAGGTGGCAATGCATTCCCGTTTGCCTGCCGCCTGTCACCCAGGCTGCTGTCTGTACTGGTGGTGAGCTGGCTTGATGTGGCAGGAGTTCGGCCCTGCTGCTTTTAGAGCCTGTGGACCTGCTTCAGAATACCTGTTCTGCTTGCAGCCGCTACTGCTGAAGGCTGCATGGAGCACTCAGTGCTTTGGGGCCCTGCGGGGGCCCAGGTCTCTGAGTGTTTCTGCAGCCGCAACAGAGGGTGCAGTGTGACCACATCAGGCAGTATTAAGTCCTCTTCTCTCAAGTCACGTAGCTAGCCTTAAAGGTTAATTTCATAACCCTTAAGGTTATTCTTTAGCTTTAATGTCATCTCTGAGAAGCTGTCCCTGACTGTGGTCTCCTCTCCCACCTGAAGACTGGATGAGGTGTCCTGCTAAGCCCCCCATAACACCCCACACTCTCCCCAGGGTGCGCATCACATTTATCACCATCACTGTTATCTGCTTATTATCATCACTGCTGATGCCTCACTTCACCTCGGGCCAAATGTTGTATAAAGGACTTAAACTTTAATCCTTATACCACGATCAGGTAGATGTTGTTCTATTTCTCTTCATAGTTGAGAAAATAAAAACAGAGAGGTTAAGTAACTTGCTGAAAGTGACACAGCTAATTTGCCGCTAGGCAGTGTGACTTCAGAAGTGACACTTTTTTTTCAACTTTTATTTTAGATTCCAGAAGTATGTGTGCAGGTTTCTTACAGAGGTGTATTGTGTGATGCAAGGATTGGAGTATGATTGGACTCATCACCCAGGAAGTGACCATAGGACCTAATAGGTAGTTTGTCACCCCCTGCCTCCCCCTCTAGGAGTCCCCGGTGTCTTTTGTTCTCATATTTATGTCCGTGTGTACCCAATGTTGAGCTCTCACTTAGAAGTGAGAACACGTGATTCTGCATTAGTTTGCTTAGGAGAATAGCCTCCAGCTGCATCCATCTTGCTGCAAAGGACATGAGTTTGCCCTTTTTTGTGGCTGCATAGTACTCTGTGGTGTATATGTATCACATTTTCTTTAGTTCACTGTGGATGGGCATGTGAGTTGATTCCATGTCTTTGCTGTTGTGAATAGTGCTGAGATGAATATGCGAGTACATGTGTCTTTTTGGTAGGAGAATTCATTTTGCTTTGAGTATTTATTCAGTCATGGGATTGCAGGGTCAAATGGTAATTCAGCATTTAGTGGAATTATACTTTTTACTCCACCTCCCCCAACTGTCCCTAGTATATGGCAGTGGCTTTTTATTGCCTTTCTCCCTAGTAGGATGCAGCCCTCTGCAGACTGGGCTGGGGCTGTTTTGCTGTTGTACCCTCGGCTCCTAGGACAGCGGCTATCACACAGCAGATGCTCAAAGAATCTCTTTGAGATTCGGCACTAGCACGGCCGACTATGGGCCCTCCCAGCAGTCCTGGGAAGGTGGCCAGCACCCTCTCTAAGAAATGAAGAAACTGAGGTCACGTGTTGACCATGGTCACAAAGTCAGCTGAGGGGTGGTGGCCGGACCTGAACCCACTGTCACTCTATGCTTCCCAGGGACCCTCTGAGCCCAGGAGCCCCGTGCTGCTGTGCAGTGGCAGGCCAATGTGAGTCTTGATGGAGCTGGGGCCCATGTGGCCCACTGACCCTGTGGAAGGCAGTTTTGTGAGTTGGCAGTAGCTGTGTTTGCAGTCGTGATGAGTAACAGGAAATGCCGTCGTGTTCCTATCATGTGAAACAAAGTGAGAAATAGGTTCAGGGTAGGAGGCTGAATGGGAGGGAGTGTAGCCAGCCCTACTCCCCACCCTCGCTCACAGGCTGGGAGGAGGAATGGAAAGGGTGTCTCCCCTGCTGGATCGGTTGCCCTCTTCTCTTCATTCCCCTGCAGTCTCCCCTCATTCTTCCACAGGCAGGACCAGCTCCTGCTTCGTGTTGCTCAGATGTTATCACTTTTCTGCCGAGGGAAAAGAGGAGGCCAGATCAGCATAAGGGCCTCGGTGTGGCTGGGCTCTCTCCTGGGGCACTGTGTGTGCCTGCGCCCCACCACGGCCTCTCCTGCAGAGCTGGGCGCCTTCCCTGAGCTGGCAGGAGGTCTATGGGAGCCCGGGGGTTAGCCTTTCTCATCCACTGACAGAGTTGGCTGCATTCAAGTCTTCTCACTGCGTCTCCCCGCCCTCTCCCTCTGCCGCCCCCATCCCTGACAGCGCTGGTCCCCTCTCTCTTCCCCACCCTTTCCCATCCTGGCCTCCAGTTTGGATGCCCTCCACATACTTCCTGAGGGCCTGAGAGGACCTTCACTTGAGACAATACATTTCCCAGGTCACTATATGTCTTTCTCCAGGCTTTTCCCCGGGATCCCTGGGGTCAGTCTCCTCTCCCCACTGGAACCGGGAAACTGGGGTTGGCCCAGACCTGGCAGTGGAGTCCCAGGTACCCTGGCTAACTCCGCCCAGGGAGGCCTCCCTCAGAAGCTCCTCCAGACTTCACCCGTTCCTTCCCCATCTCCTCTCACCCAAGGCCAAGTCAGTTGTTTAGGCTACACTACGGTTACCTCAAGGCCCAGTGAAGGTGTGTAGTATAGAGCAGAATCAGATCCAGATTTCAGTTTTTCTTAAAAAGTGACTTTCATATTCTGGCCAGAAGAACAGAATACTTGGTTGGATATATTTAGAGTTTCCGTGGGGTATTTTTTCCTGCCTCTTGCTATGCTTTCTCAAATTGGCTTTTAGTCTAAACAGGTTTTGGGGTTTTTTTTTGCAAGGTGTTTTCCTCCAAAGAGTAAGAATAATAGGCCTCATGGCTGGGTAGTGTTTTATAGTTTGTGGAATGTTTTCTCAGCCTTTGTCAGATCTCATCTTTACACACTCTGTGTGAAATTGGGCATATGCCATTATTTCCAACTTAGAGGAGATGAATGAGCCCTGGGAGCTTCAGTTCTCTGCCCACATTGCGGGTTACTCGGTGGCAGAAGCAGGTCTGGAAGCCGGGTCTCCTCAGTCTGCATGCCACATCCCTTCTAGGGTGCCATAATTCTGTGTTTCATGGCTCTGCCCACTCTGCTTTGGTGGAATCATGTTCCCTTGGAGTAGATCACACCAGCCAGAGGCAACTGCTCTGAGCCTAGCAGATGATACTCACATAGTCTTCTCGAAGTCTGGGGTCAGGAGCCTGCCCCATCCATCTGCATCCATTTGTCCAGCCCTCAGACAGTTAACACCATTTTCTTCTCTCTTCTCTGACTCTCCTGGAGTAGACAACATGGACTGCACAGCAGCCTGCCTTTTTTCTGGGGCTCCCGCTGTGGTCCTGGCCACACAGGGACTGTCAGTGACACTGGGAAACTCCCAGGGGACCCCTTCAGGCTTCACATCATCTGCTCCCTCCCCAGAATCCTGGCCTAGAACACTTTCCAGCCATCAGCTGCATTCTCCAGTGAGGCATGCAGCCCCTCCCAGGACCAAAGGGCTTCAGCCAAAAGAACACTTTAACAGGCCCAGAAACCCAGGAGCACTGTTAAGTCAGAAAGCTGAAACAAGAATGCACCTAATCTCCCCACGTCAATTACTGCTAGCGATTTGTTAATCTGCATATTATAGGTCCATAAGGGGGTGGCACAGTTTAAAATCCCTGCAGGGGATCATACCCTGCTATCCCAGATCTTCATCCAGGAAGGAATCTTCGGGACCATTAGGTTGTAGGGTTTTTCTTCTGCAGAGGAGTTAGAGGGTCAGTGTCAGATTGCTGGTTTGCTAGTACCACTGCCTGGAGAAAAGAGCAAAAGAAAGAAACTTGTTAGTCAACTGTTCAGAGGCACCATAAGACTGCCTGTCTTCGTGGATAGCCCTGTGTTTGTAGCAAGAGACCTCTGGCCTCCAGTAGCAGCTGCCACATAGTAAACAGAGCCGAGATATCAGGGGTCTTGCTGAAAATGCCGTCAGATGGGCTCTGAATAGAGTAAGGCAGGACGCTCTAAGATGGGATGGGGTTTCTCACAGCACCAAACAGGGACGACCTGCAAGATCTCTTGAGGGACATGTGAA